GTCTATTCTAGTTCATCTGCCTAATTCTGCACCCCACTCTGTCTCTGGTGAATCCTCTCACCCCCCCACACCTCTGGCCTACACCCAGATCTTGTATGCATAAATAAATATCTAAAGTTTCCTGGCACCCATCATTTCATCTGAATATTAGGAAAATCCTGAACTGAAGTCTCCCAGCTTGAAATCAAGATCAAGGTCCCTAAAACCTGAATTAGGAACTTCATTTCAGTTTGCAATTGCCTCATGGTATTCACATGATCAAACATTACTTCATGTGGAGGGGAGTATACAATTTTTTTTTTGTTGGGGGGCTAGTCAAATGCTTTGTAGAATTATAAAAGGCACCTTTTGGTGGTTTTACATGACTGAAATTTCAAAATTTCAAAACCTCATATAGAATCCTAAAGCTTAAAGTGAATTCACTCAGTATCTGAATGTAATATACCCAGGAGAACTTTCTCACAGTAAGCGGGATAAGAAGATGCATTTACTTGGTCATTTTGTTAACCAAGAGATAATTTATTAATGACTACTATGTGTGGCTTTATGCCAGGTGTTAGGGATAAAATGATGAGCTTAAATATATACGTATGTGTATACACACACACAAACATACATAGACACACATATATATGTGTGCATATATATATGTCTCTCTCTCTCTTTCTCTCTCTCTCTATATATATACATAAATCATGGAATTAAGAAGCTATTGAAGGTGGGGGTAATGACATGTTTTTCTCAAGTAATCATACTAACAAGTATAACTACAAACTCAAATGATATCAAATAAAAAGTACTTTATGAAACCTAGTCATAAAGGATCTGATCTAGATAGTAGAGTGAGGGTAGCTGAGGAGCTGGGGCATTTTAGGAAGCCTATGGTTAAGGGGGTTCAAGGAGTAGAATTTATTTAGTTGAAAATCATGACAACTCCCAAAGCTTCATAAGAAGCAACCTATGCACTGTTATTTTTACACTTAAGAATCACAATCCTGCAGAAAAATAATCCCACATTGATGAAAAATCAAATCACCATAATGGAGAGCTAGCAAGGGCAATACACAAGTAGCTTAGTTCCTCAAATCTGGATATACAAAACAACCTAAAGAATTATAAAGTAAATAATTTTTATAGGAGAAGGAGAATCATAATCAAATCATAGATAGCATACCGCAATCATAGGCAGGAATATTTGGAAAAATAAACTTTTTTTTCAATTAAGAGGAAACAAAATAATTGAATGGGAATTTTAAACAGATTAGGAACTGCTGGAATTTTGTTAGTAAACAGGATGCTGAAGAAAAATAATCCCACAAGCTAAAAGGCAACACAGAGAAATAGAATGCAAAATATGAGTATTTTAGTCAGGATTCTCTAGAGAAATAGAAGCTTGGGCCTCCCTGGTGGCACAGCAGTTGAGTACTGGGTTGCGAAGCTGCCCGCAGCCTCTGAAGTGCTGGTTCTATTCCCGGCCACCAGGTGAGGGTCCCACGTGATGCACAGACCTCTCCTGCCACCCGCTGCTCCCCTCAGCAGTGTACTTCGTCGGTCTGCCTATTCCCCGCTCTGGCACTGGTGAATTCTCTCACCCTCCCGCACTTCTGACTGTACCCAGTGCTTGTATAAATAAATAAATCTTTTTTAAAAAGAGTGAAATAGAAGCAACAGGAGATAGAGATACAAATATACTCTTTTATATGTATTGTTTTATATTCTGCAATAAATCCATATGTTCTATGACATCTCTATCACTATACATACATACATATATATGTATGTATGTATATGCACACACACATATGTGATAAATAGACAGACAGAAGATGAATAGAAAGATAGATATTGTAGGAACTGGTGAGTCTCAAATCTGTAGAGTAGACTCTGAGAATGGAAACCTAGAGAAGAATTGATGTTGCAGTTTTCAGTCAGAAAGAAGTCTGGAAGCAGAATTCCTACCTCCTCAGAGGACCTTGTTTTTTTGTTTTTTTTTTTTCTTATGGCCTTCAATAATTAGATGAGGAAAGGTGTTCCTTTCTACTCAATGTTTATTGTTTTCAGTATTAAACCACATCTAAAAATACCTTACCATAACATCTAGAGTGGTGTCTGACAAAACAAAAAACCTGATAATAGCTAAAGTGACATATAAAATTAGCCATCACAATGATGAATACTAAAAGATGTGGAAGATAACACAAGAAAATCCCCATCTGTCTGAAAGGTATTTTAGAAGTGACAGAATCTAGGATGAGTCAATATTCACAGCAATTTTACATGAAAGTTTGTCAAAATTGAAAGAGAAATGAGATTTGAGACTGAAGTGGCACACATAGCCAGAGCAAGAAAATAGGATTAAATCTATAAGTAGTCATGTTGTGAAACTGCATAATATACTAAAAAATTTCAGAAGAAAGGGTAGATCAACTTACTCAATAAAGGTAATCAGAATGAGAATAGGCTGTTTATGAGTACCAAGAACTGCCACAAGCAATGAAGAGATACTTTCAAAAGGCTCAGAATAAGTGAGTAAACAAATGGACTTTTATACCCAGCTAAATGATTGGTTAAGAGAGAGGGTAAAATAAAGGCATTTTTTCCAGACAAATTCTGAGAGCTGAGGCCTTCTTGGTGGCACAAGAGGTTGACCACAGCACTTTGAAGCTATCTGCAGCATGAGTTCGATCCCTGGCTGGCCAGGAAACTACCCACATGGCATAGCAGATCTTTCCTGTCTTGCCTGCTTGTCCCCTCAGCAGTATATTTCAGTTGATCTGCCTGTTCTGTTCCTCACTCTGTCTCTGGTGAATCCTCTCATTCCCTGCAGCTCTGGCCTGTACCCCAGTTCTTGTACGTAAAACAATCTTTAAAAAAAAAATTCTGAGAGCTTTTTTAATATTTGGCCTTTTGATGAAAGTAATATTAAGGCATTTCAGCACCCTACAAAAGGAGTATTCTGAAGAAAGAATTAAGATGCATCCAGCACTTCTCCCTAAATAAAGGCTTACAAATTTGGTAAAACTAAACATCCTTTAATTGCAAAAGTCCTTATTATGGGAAGTTTAAAGCAAGTAGTACCTAATATACTTGACAACTAACATAAAATAGGGAAGTATGTACCTGAAATTGTTCTAATATTATGACAAAACAGAGATATTTGTTAATATTAGACTTTGTTATGTCAACAAAGGATGCTAAAAATAAAAATGGCTAACTGCTAAAAACAATGAAAATATAACACATTTCTAACCTGGTAGAGGAATAAAAATGAAATTCAAAAATAAAAACTTTAGAACAAAAATTAAATGAAAAATCATGTAAAATAGTAGACAAAAGATGGAGGAAAGGAATAAGCATATATATATATATATATATATATATAAATAATCACAAAACTAATTTTTGTAATTGGATTTGTTCTGGTTGGTCTCACTTTGTCTGATGAAAACATCTATATATCAAAACAAAAGACTGAAAATAAAGAAATGGAAAAGATATACTAAAAAAATACTAAATAAAGAATACTTAGGTTGCTATGTCAATTTCAAATAAAGCAAACATTAAAGCTAGCCCCTGGAATTATTAATCCCTTGAATGATATGGAGTAATCCCATTTGTATTTCCCGGAAGAAAACTAGCAACTGAACTTATAAAGCTGCCAACTTTGGGACACCCTGAAAGGTTGTCAATAAACTTTAAATACAGATTCTTAGGAAATGTCATTCTAATCCTAAACACTTTTATACACCAAGATATAGCTGTGTTGAAAGTTGCTCTGGGGCAGAATGATACATTTGGATGCTCTCAGCCTTTTAAAACACCCTTTTATTGGCTTATAGGAGCTAGTGTTTACTCTCTGATGGAAAAATTAGCTTATATAAAAAATATGTAATTAAAAATTAAAAGTAAAAGGCCACATAGAGGTTTTTGTGTAAAAAGGAAAAGATGCTCTACCAGTCTGAGACATTTGAATTAGTGTCTGGTGACTCCTTTAACTGCTGTGCTGAGACTGATGACTACAATTCAGGTTTCCTACCACTGGATGGCACATTGCTTATTTGCAAAGAGCAAGTGTCTCAGACCTTACTGACATCAAGGCACAAGAAATCAAATTAGTAGACAGAAAGGTGATGATGATAGGCAGATGTTAATGGATGGATAGATATACAGACAAATAAATAAACAGGTAAATAAATAAGTAGATAGATTATAGGTAGATGACAGAGATTCTCTGTCATTTAAAATAAATATTTATCACTGCTACAGCCTGAGTTTGATCCCTGGCCAGGGAGCTAGCCCACAGATGGTACAGGAGACCTATCCTGTCTCACCCACTGCTCCCCTTGGCAGTGTATTTCAGTCAATCCACCTGTTATACTCCCACTCTGTCTCTCAAACCCCGAATCTCTGGCCTATCTATACCCCTCTTCTTCTACACAATAAATATTTACAAAAACTAAAAAAATAATAAAATACAATAAAATAAATATGTATTATTAGCTACCAACTTAGAGTTAAAATAAACTATGATTGTATCATATAATGATCATATCATTATAGCCTAATTAACAGAGATTGGACTAGAGAATGCAGGCTCTAGAACGTGGAACACTACAGTTGTGATTTTTGGATGAGTCATATAATCTGGACTTCTGTTTGCCTAAAAAATGAAAAAGTAAGAGATTTCTAATATCCTTTTCCAGGGCTACAATTTCATAATATCATTGAGGCAGTATAAGAATGAAAATAAAATTTAACTTCTTCAAGCATCTGGTGAAATCTTTTTTTTTTTTAACTTTTGTTTGCTATTTTACAAAAAAAAAAAATTAAATTTTCAGAAACTTTAGATACCTGGCAACCACAGTCCAGGCTAGTTCAATCCATGCTTCGGTTCTATAATCTCTTTTTTAATCTGCTAAAGCCAAAGACCCACTCAAAGTCTGTCTAACTATGTTCTGGAGAGGGGGTTGGCAGCTGCTGCTGTGCAGTCAAAATCCTACCTGTTTACTTGTGGATCCTTGGAATACTCTGAGGCTGTGCCTTCTCTCCAGAGGTGCCACTCTCACCACTATTTCTGGTTAGGGAGTTGTCCAACCATCTTTGCTTGTCTCTGTCCTTGCCACTTCCATTTCTAGCCCTTTTACTTTCATTGCAAGTGTTTGCCTGGACAAGTCACTTGATTTGTTGAATGTCTGTTCCCTCACCTGTAAATCAAAAATAACAGAACTTAATTACCATGTTTATGTGAGAATTAAGAGATGTGTAAAGGATGTAATTCAAAGCATAGTTAGCATATACCTTATAAAACTAAATTTTTAATTTTAAGAGAAAAAATTTCACACATAACATGAAATTCTGATGGCACAATCTCAGACAAGCCTGATTAGGAGTAAAGCAATGTCAGTGGGAGCATAAAGGATCTCTGAAAGAAAATGGACGAGGAAAATCTGTCACGAATTTTTGAAAATAGAATGGAAGGCTTGAAAATTAGTAGTAAAATATCATTCAGCCAAACATGTGAAACACCTAATATGAATTAGATAAAGATCAATATCAGTATGATGAAGCTAACCTAACAAACAGCCAATGTTACTTTCGGCTCTATTAACAGAAATAGAGTCCACAGTGAGAGAGGTGCTAGTCCTATTCTGTTTAGTTGAGGACAATCTCAAGTAGAGTGTTGTATTTGATTTTCAGTGCAACATTTACTGGCTGCCATGCATTAGAACAAGAATATCTATGACCTAGACAATTGAGAAGCAGAAATTTCCAAGGAAACAGGCTCATTGTGGGTTTGGGAGATAGCCTATTTTGGTGGCCATGGTTTATTCTTTGGAGGTTCTACACGAAATCAATAGTCAAAACTGGAAGGTATGTTAGGTGGCCAGGTAAAAATATAGTTACATTTGAATTTCTGATAAATAAGAATATTTTGCTATGATTTAATGCCACATAATACTATAATGTTATAATACTTATATAAAAATGAAAATTGTTTACCTGCAGTTCAAATTTACCTGGACAACTGATAACTCTGGCAAATTTAGGAATGTGATGTAGGGAAAGGGGTGCTTAGTGGGCAAAAAACACAATGACTTTAGAGGGGATCCAGTTAAGATACACATTGGCAAATGCAATACCATAGCAAAATGACAATTAGCCAGTAGGGAATTTATTTTAATATAATTTATTATTGATAATAAATTTATTATTTTATTTATAAAATTTAAAATCATTGACATTTATAATATTTAAGTATTTAAACTTTTGAACATTAGAAAAAGTTCCTCTCTTGTTACTAGCTTGGCTGTGCTCATACACTGCTATTTCCTGTACCTGGGTTCTGTGTCTGCAGAGCGCAGCTGTTGGATTCCAATTCCCTCCAACCCTCTTAATTTTCCTTGACCCTGTGGAAACACTATGCAGGGATGGTCAGTAATCTCTTGCACCTAATTAGCTGCCTGTCTGTCTTCGAGTCTTGGAATCTACTCTTTCCCTTTCCTTAAGGAGACGGGAGAGACCTCAGAGGCTTACACAGGAGCCCACTAAGTGATAAAGAAGAAAAGGGTGCTTTGTGATTAAGATGCCGGTGTTGGAATGAATAAAGGGAAGCAGCCTAGGGAGATGATTTAAAGATATAGGGAACCACTAAAGGTGAATGAAACTACTGACTGAAATTTGAAGTAAGGATTCATGCGAACATTGTGGTGGTGTAAGATGTGTGAAATCTTGGCATATTCAAGAGGAGGAAAGAGACAAATTCAAAATCAGGAAATCTTAGAGGAAAATATAATACACTAACAATAGCAACTGAGGTCTCTGATTCCTGCTTGCAGGGTCATTTGGAAATTGATTCTTGTTTGAGTTTCTAGTGACTAGTCATTTGATCTGTACCCAGACTATAGCAGAAAGCAACAGAAAATAACTTACTTGCTTTTAGATCCTGAAACCAGACAATATGGAATAATTTTAAGGTGAGAGGAAATAAAAACAGATGAGAGACAACTAATGTTTATTATTTAGTTCCATTTTTTGGTCACCCATCTTGACTTGGGCTGACCTTAGTAGTGTTAAATAAGAATTCACCTATATGGAGCTTGACTTAGCACTCCTAGGTCAGTATGTAGATACTTTTGGTTGAAAAATATAGACATAAACAGGAAAACAAAATCTGGAAAGATGGTTGTAGTGTGAAGACACTGGGCTCACCTTCTCTACATACATCAGAACTAAACTGCAACAAAACAAAGTGTGACTATCACATACATCAGGAGTATTGGTGGTGGAAAGGGATAGGAACGACTGCAATTTCTGTGTTGTAGAGGCAGGAAGGACACAGGGCAGGTTTTCTGATCCAGCAGACCTGGTAAAGGAGGAGTCAGAGTCCTCAGTGGCTTTTGCAGGTCTTTTATTTAGATTTACCAGGCATATGGCAGGCAGGGATGCTGGGGGCCAGGAGGCTGGCAGTCCTCCCAGCCCCCAGCATATCCTCACTCTTTCTGGGCTCTCTGGCCTTCTCTCTGCTTCTCTTCTTCTCTCAGCTTCCGTTCGATCTTGGCTTCTGCTGGCGTCCCCGTGACGCCGCCCTTAAAAGCCCAGTCTTAGCCCAGGTGAATCCCATCTACCTATGCCCACACCCTACTCCAGGTGCCCGCCATCAGGCATGCATTTGGGACTGCAGGGTTCTGTCATCCATCCTAATGGCGGGAGGGCAGAAAAACCTGATACTTTTACCTTACCCTACATGTGTTCTCAGTGATTCCAGGGTAGTATGATCACAAGTGTGGGGGATGGCTGCAGTGCAGAGCCCTCATGCTGTTGTTAACTCAAGGGCACATGCCTACACAAGAAATTTTTAAAACTGGCAGTATACTGAAGGAGGGGGTGCACTGAGTTGGTATGTAGGCAAAGGGTGCTAGAGAACTACAGTAATGAGGGTGCAAAGTGATTAAAGCTTGAGACTGAGGTACCTAAACTGGAATCTGTGGGAGAAAGTCAAACCGGTCACCTGTGTCTTCTCATAGACAGAATATAATTTGCAGTCTGAGGCAGTGATATGCATAACACCTTCCATACCAGCACCCAGGGCCAAAACCCAAACAACCCAAAGTCTCTCACTAACCAGAGCTTATGCACCTGGATCTTAATGGCAGGCTCAGCAAATGCTCCAGGGTAAGGATCCTCATTGGAAAACAGAAAAATTCCTAGCTTGTGACCCTGTCTAGACAATAATTCTCACTCAGTGCTAGATCTGTTGTGCAACACACCAGAGGTTGAGACTGGCAGGACACTAGACATCAAGTCTAAGGAGCTGGCCTAAGGTATGGAATCACTGTGGATTCCTTCATACAACTCAGGTAGGTACAGCACTACAGTAGGCATGAAACCTTAATGCCCAACTGAGGCAACCTTTCAGTGCCCCACTAGTCTGGTTCCTTCCTAAATACTACTCTGTACTGGCACCATTGCTCTGGCAATCTGAATAGGTACAATGATACTGGTCTATGAAATAAGAGATACCTAAAGATACTAGGTAAAAAATCCTGGGATCATATCCAACTTCTTGAAGGAGGGGTACAGAACCAATTTATTAAGATAAAAAAGGAAACTCCCTACTACAAGTGATAAAAATTAAAATGAAGAGACTAAAGAACATAACACAAACACTGGAATAAAAACAAAGAACACAACTTGCCAGATTCTCTTTCCTGTTTTTTTCAAATAGTTGATTTTAATATCCTGTAATATTATCATGTTGTTGTCAATATCTCTCTCCAGTTCTATCAATAATTTCTCATATATCATGGTATTTATCATTTGCTGTATATATATTCACAAGTGTTACTTCTTGTTCTACCAGGCCCTTGTTCACGTTATAATAATATTGCAGTTTATTAATATCCTATTTAACACTGTGGACACATCAACAAGATAGAATATAAATAATGAAACAACAGCCTTAAATGAGGGTTTAGAGCAAATAGGTTTAGCAGACATCTACAGAACACTCCACCCCCAAAATACTGCATAAACATTTTTAAGTGCTCAACCATATGTTGGGACAAAAGCCAATTTCAATATAACTATGAAGGCTACAATCCTACCAGCACTCTTTTTGACTTTGTGCCATAAACCTAAAAATCAACTATTAAAAATATATAAATACATAGAAACTAAACAATATATTTCTTAATAGCTAGTGGATTAAAAGGAAATTAAAGCAAAAAATTGAAAAATGCCCATGGCCAATGCAAACAAAGATACAACTATCAGATACAACAAAAAGGGAGGTTTTAGGAGGGAAGATAGTTACAGTATAGGCCCACAGTATGAAGCAAGAAAAATCCAAAATTAACAACTTAATATTACACCTAAAGCAACTTGAAAAAGAGAAACAAGATATAAAATTAGTAAGGAAGTAAATAGAACTAAGAATAGAAACAAATTAAACAGATACCAAAAGACCATACAAAAGTTCAATGAAACTAAGATTGGTTCTTTAAAGAGATAAAAAAAATAAAGTTGATAAAATTATGGATAGGCTAACAAAGAAACATTAATAAACAATTAAAAATGAATAAGGGAAAACTATCACATATGGCACAGAAATACAAAGGATCATGAAATAACTATGAATAACTATATGCCAATAGATTCAATAACTCTGAAGAAATATACAAATTTCTAGAATAATATAGCTTACAAAGACTAAACCAGAAAGAAACAAGAGTAGAATAAACTTATCACATTCATGGAAATTGAAACAGTTACGAAAAACCTCTCCAGATAAAAAATCTCAGGGCTAGACAGCTTTACAAAAGAATTCTATCAAACCTTTAAAGAACTTGTGTCTCTCGTGCTCAAATTATTTATACAAATCCAAGAAGAATGCTCCCTAATATATTTAATGGTGCCAACATTACCCTAATATGGAATCCAGATAAATTGCACAACAACAAAAAAAAAAAACAAGATTATCCCCACCCACAACATGGCAGAATGAGGCTACAATCACCTTCTCCCTCAAAAACAATTATGAAAAAAAAAAAAAAAGATAGATATATGCTTGTAGGAAAATGCAGATCTTCGTACCAGCTCTACAGCCCAGGACCTCCCCAGAGAGCTCAAGAACTAACGTTGGTGGCTGCTGAGGGGAAAGAACAGGAGATAGTGAGGGGATGCATGTCTGGGCTGGAGGTTGACT